TATAATCGGCTTCAACATAAATGTGCTCGAGTGCTTGAGAGCTGACGACTGATCCCATCCCTCCCGTGAAAAAAACAACTAAATTTATAGTACTGGTTTTGAGACGATTATTGCCAGCATTCCTTTCCCTCTCTGCAAAAAAATTGCCATTTTTTTACTTCTCTAACTTACTTTTAGCATCTTCCAATGCTTACATATTTTGTAATAACTGCGTTTACAATCTCAACGAAATGTTGCGTTTTCATTGGTCACATGCCGTCCTGGCTGCCGGCCCAATGTTCCTTCCATTCCCCGGAGATAATTTCGATCTTTGAGTGTTTTGTTAATAGAAAAATTGGCCGCTTATTGTTATGGTTTATGGATTTCTAGGGTGAGTTATCCCGAAGAGTGAGTTATCGGCATATTTAAGCGATCTCGAAAACCTCATCCTTTAAAGGTTAACGCAGTATAGGGGAACTTTGGCTTGCCTGATATGCAGCTGGGAAGCGCGGTTTCGTGTCGGCGACATTGAAGTACTGATCCAAGGAACCACGAAAACGAAGACGTCGCGCTTTATTCTTTAAACAGCGCCGAAATCATGGCGTCTTGGTGTTGCAGACGCTTCCTGCAGGTTCGGATGCCTTTCCTGCTCTGACGTAACCTTTGCGGCAGACGCAGCCGGAATTGCAGTCCTCGCTGCACGCCACGTACCCTCCGGCGGCCTCAATACCCAGCGACTCGCAGGTGTCGTCTTTGCAGGTGCTGCTGTAGCAACGGCTGAACACTTCGTTGCGAACGCATCCCCCTGAAAGCGGAGCCAATACCGCGTTCAGCTACGCTGTATGCAACGTTACTTTGGCTGTATGTATAAACACAACGGCACGAGAAAGAAAAAGTATGGCAAAATTTGCTAGGCAATCTTGTTGCATACATGAAAGGCTCTAGCATCATAAACATTCATATAATCGTTTAGCAGCACTTCTAACCTGTTCAGCCAGACGCCTACGTTAGAGGCGCTCCTCTTTAGATAATTTATTGTGTGGCATGTCTACACTTGAAATCACAATCCTGGGGCGCTGAACTCGTCAAACACAAAGTCGGGGCCGAAGTTCACGGAGGGCACCGATTGGACTATCCTGGCGATGACTTGGCGCTTTTTTCGCCGGCGTCCAATTGGCGCGCTCCGCAAACTTTAAGTTCCAACTTTGCGTTCGACGAGTTTAGGGCCCCTGGTGATCTTCCAGAACCTTCTAACACACACCTCCTCTCCTCCTCACTCCACTCCTGATCACACGACCTCTCCGTTAACCAATCAGCGTCGAGCACGTCACTTCTCCTGTCCGACTCGTCAACCAATCAGCATCAAGTATCGCGGCAACGCTTTTATTCTGTCTTCCCTTTTTAAAGCCCGTTCACACACTTGCAGCCGAGTAAGACGGAGAGAGACAAAACCAGTTTTTGAGCCCCTTGCTACGGCGTAGGACCAGACGCGCTGCTGCCGAGCACGTCCTAGGCCGTCGCAAGAGGCTTAAAAGCTGGTCTCGTCTCAGCCGGTCCCACTCGGTTGCATGTGTGTGAACGAGCCTTTGGGCTTCACGAAATGTGAAACACCTAGACAAAGTACGTTTCACTTTAAATCTTAGTCTTATGGAATAAGTTGGGAGGCACATAATGAGAAGCACGCTCTGGACTGTGCTGGGTGTTTACTTAGGAGTCTTCTTGAGCTCAAACAGCGACACTTGAGACCGCTAAATGTAGACAATGTGCGTACCAGAATATTTGGACAAGAAATGGCGTAATACTCGTTGACAAGAAACTTGTTTGGCCTTATTTTTCGATGGAAATCTAGCTGGAAAAACGCATTGCGTCAGAAAACCATACTGACCGTGATAAACTTTTAGAGGGGGGGGGGGGGGGGGGGGGGGGCGGGGGTAACCGCGCGAGACCCCCCTCCCCCCAGCTATTTTTTTCATTAAACGTTAAAGGGGGTTCACGAAGCGCCGCGATATCTTATTGTTTTAATGGGTCTCAGGTTGTAAACTTTTGGAAGGATGGGTCCTATAGTGAAACGGGCAGGGGAGGAGGTCGAATTTGAAATTTATATGCTGGAAATCTACCTTATACTGCACAGAACAATACAATGCCAGTTAAAAAAATCAAAATCAAAACTTTTTTTTTTTTTATCTAAGCGCATTTTATTAGTTCTGGGCTCAAAATGTAGATTGTTTCAGCCGACTTCCAGTGACGTCGTTGCGCTTTCTTTTTACTTTTCAGACGATTGAGGAAGTTCCTCTAATCAAGCGTCGACGAAAAAAAAAGAAAAAGGAACAGAGCTTACCGGTAGGCGGTTTTGGAACGAAAGGAGCGACTGAACCCAGGATTACACCGAGAAGGCAAAACAACAGATATGTCTTCATCATGATGGCGACTTTATGACAGTATTGCTGACCCTCAAGATCGGTGGTAAGGACCTTAATATACTCGGCCCGAAGACACGATATGACTAAGAAAGAATGCCAGCTGCATCAGTTTTATATCTTCTGAATTTCGGCTTTCGTGACTGTTTCCAACACGCGCTATTCATTCTGAACTATAACTTTGTTTGGCCGCAAGTGCGAACAAAGAAAAAAAGCTACAAAAGCGTGCTCAACACCTAGTGCTTGTTTGGTACTCGTACTCATAAAGTGAAAGTGTCATTCAAGATGGCAAACTCTTCATTTACAACATCGGCTTCGCTCGCACTTACAATGGAACCGAGAATGGTTATCCTTCGTTTGAAAGTTTTATTACACCTAGGGTGCCTAGATGTCTGTCTGTCTCAGGGTGAAGACATCCATTGTTGTCCGGAATGTACCAGCGCGTGACGTTCTCGCGCACTCGGTGCGTGACGTGGGCGGTAAGATGGCGTCTATGCATCAGCCAAAGCTACGCGCTCGAGCTGAGTGACACCGGATTGCGCGCACTTAAAGGAGCAATGCAACAATTTTTGTACTGTGCAGAAATACCGCTTAAAACGGATCCCTAACGTTAATGACCTATGACACACGCGTTCGTTTTTCCCCCCACGCAATAGAAGTCCCAGAAAAAAATTTAAGAAAAACAAGCAGCGTTCACCCCCTCAACTCGCAGCCAGAACAAGCGGCCACGCGATATGGAGCCGATTATATGCCGCCAGTGTTGATCATAGCCACGCGCTGGGGTTGGCAAAGCGCAGGACACGCGCTGAGTTCCAGACATTGTTATGGCTCGGCTGTTGTCGTCGTTGCAGCGATTGGACACGGGTCACAACCCGAATGCTTCTCGAGCTAGCAATTGTCACGAGCCCAAGTCGAGTGCCCACGCAATGCTCGGGTCCAATCTATAACCGCATTCAAATATCGTCACTTGGGTGTACTGCGATCCCCGAGTTACGTCATCAAATTTTGCAAAGGAGAGATTGAATGAAAATTATCACTTTTGTCCATGAAATTATACCGCAACAAAGGCGTTTCTTGGCCAATGGCGTTGCGTGTGAGTATCCCTGAGTCCCAGGTGTGCCAGTAAGCTCGTGTAGAGAGAAAAACATTCCAATGGAATATCGTTGCACAGCTCCTTTAAAAATGCATAAAAAACGATTGGGCGGAAAAATGGCTGAGATGTCACCACTCAAGCAAAAGCGCGCGTGTGTATGAAGGCACTCTAATTACACCATCTTATTAGCGCGGCATAGGCACGCGCAAGAAGTTGTCAGGCTGTTAAGCCTGGTTCAGACAGTTGCGTTTGACTGCGTTTGACTGCGTTGCGGCAGCGAGAAACCAGGACATCCCTGCTACTTATATCGCGTGCTAAGATGATTCTTTGAATTGGATTGCACGCTTCACACGAAGCATAGATGTGCCGGTGACTCGCTTTCGGTTCTCGACGCAACGCAGTCAAACGCACTCAAACGCAAGTGTCTGAACCGGCCTTTAGTTTGGAACAAAGAACTTGGCGAATGGTGCAAGCTCAATGTACCCTTTCTTGTAAAAGGTCATCAAACAACGCTAGTAGCCGCCATGTTTCAAGCATCGCTTCCTGCGCGAGGCTCCTGATTGGGTCCGAGTTCACGCTCAGCACTGACGTTATACTCGTGTCGAATGCATTTGGACCCGAACACGCGCCGCACGCCAAAGAAGCGCTCGTGTACAACGCATGCACAAAGTGCGCGTCCGAAAAATAGTGGCATCGTATACCCGACACAGCAGGAGGTCGGGCCCTTAGAAAAGAAAAAAAAAAAAAAAAAAAAAGAGGTAGATAACGAGGGGCTTCTCAATAGCAGACTTGTGCAGGTTACTGCAAAAAGTAAGAAATTACATTTGCAGTGAATTGAGGCTTGTCGGAATGAAAGGAGGGAGGGTTACGCACCTTTAAGCGCGAAACACATGTACGACGAAACCGTCCGATCCGACGTCCGACCGCGCAATACGACGGTCGGAGGCGAGGGTTTTCAACGCTCTCCGATGCTACGAAAACCCTCTCCCACCAAGGTCATTCCGGCAGTCCGCACGTCGGATCGGAAGGTTTCGTCGTACATGTGCTTCGCGCTTTACGTCCGAAGACCTGTCCGGTCAAAGAGGAAATCCGATGCCCGTCCCACCACGTGGCCGACGGCTACCAGCGAGTGCGGTCGCCGCGCCGGGTTCGGCCAACGCCATGCCAACAACGATGATCACGGTATCCAGCAGCGTTTATTGAGTACCAGGGGTCCCCAACAAGACACTGCGGTCAAGCGAGCCGCGAACACAGTGTGCCCGCATCGCACGCGGACCTGAGAGCCAAAGGGGTCATTGCGAGCGGAGTCATTGCCGGTCGGGCACGCTCACGCCGCGACTCGACCCGACGCCCGGAGTCCAATCCAGGACCCCCCGACCACACGGTCGTCCACTCGGAGGGCAAGCCCGACTCTCTCTCGCGCGGTCTCGCTGTTCCCCCGAAATCGGGGTGAGGTGAGGTAGACGTTATTGGGTCCAGGACTGTTAGATTCCCTTCGTCAAGGGTCTCTCTTAGGGAGAGACCCTTGACGAAGCGATCCCCTCGGTCGACAGACAAGACGCGATGTTCCCGGCGGCGTCCGAGGCCAGCTGGACTAGAATTTTCTGAGTCGTGGGGTCAGGATCCCGCAGGAAGGATTCCCAGGCGCCTGGTTGCCTGGCTTGCTTGATGAACTCCTTATTCTTCGAATGAAGAAGCAGCTCCGGACACCAGCAGAGTATATGGTGGAGTGTGGCGATCTCGCCACAGTTCCTGCAAGACGGGTCGTAGGTATCTGGGTACCACGAGTGCAACTGCGCCGGGTTGAGGAAGGTCTCCGTCTGGACTTGACGGAGGATGGTGGATTCTGCCTTGTTGAGAGTGCTGTGAGCCTCTGGGTAGGCTCGGCGTCCTACTCGGTAGTGGTCCAGCACCCCCTTAAAGGTGTAGAGGTTGTCGTGGTTCCACGTGGCGAAGGTCGAGTGCTCACTTGGTGTGCTAGCCCGGTTGGTAAGAGCGCAGGCTGCACTGTGAGCACTCTCGTTGCCTGGGAGTGACGCATGGGCTGGAGACCACAGTATGCGGACTGGGTGGTCAATCAGACGATGACCAGTGGCGATCTTGAGGGCTTTGTCAGAGATGTGACCACGCATGTACTGGCGGATGGCCATCTGGGAGTCACTGACGATGACTTTCGTGGTGCTAAGGGTGAGGGCCAAGGCGATGGCTGCCTCCTCTGCCTCTGCACTGTTGCTGGTGTACATGCTGCCTGCCGTGATGATTTGGCCGGAGCGATTCGTAACTGCAAGGGTCATTCGACCCCTGTCAGCTGAGGCTGCGTCGACATAGGTCACCTCGGAGTCGTCGTAGCCTTGCTGTAGAGTGTTCTCCAGAGCCTTCACTCTGGCCATGCGTCTGCCTGCGTCGTGCACTGGATGCATGTGACGAGGCAGAAGTGAAATCTTTAGTTGCTCGCGTAGCTCGTTTGGAAGCCAGCCTCGCGTACTGTGCCCTGTTGGGTGGTAGTTGATGCCCAAAGATGTGAGGATGGTTCTTCCCGCTGTGGTCAGAGATAGCCTTTCGTAGTGGGCTATCCTCTGTGCCTCAATGATTTCCGAGAGGGTGTTGTGAAGCCCAAGCTTCTCGAGTCGCTTGGTCTCTGTTGAAGGTGTTAGGTGAAGCGCTTTCTTGTATACGCAGCGGATGATGCGATCGATGGCATCCCTCTCCGTGAGTGTCAAGTCCAGGAAGGGTGCAATGTAGGCAATCCGGCTAATCACGAAGGCTTTGATGAGGCGAATGACATTCTGCTCTTTCATCCCGTACCGTTTTCCGGCGATTCTTGCTATGAGTCTTCCTACTTTCTGTGTGTGGTTACGGAGGACTCCGATGCTGTATGTGTTCTTGCCATCCTCTTGCAACCACAGACCGAGTATCCGAAGTCGCCGGACCCGAGGGACGTCTTTGCCTCCGACCTGCAGTATGATGCCTGAGGGAGTTTTTACCGTGGTGCCGGCCATGAGTAGCAACTCCGACTTTTCCTGAGAGCAGGCTAGTCCGCGCTCCTTTGCGTAGGCTTCCACGATGCATATAGCTTCTTGCAGCGAGTCTTGGATGGCGCCATCGCTTCCTCCTACCATCCACAGAGTGACATCGTCTGCGTATATGCTGTGGTGAAGGTTTGGGATACCTTGTAGTTTCGTCGGTAAATCTTTCATGGCGATATTGAAGAGAAACGGAGAGAGCACTGCTCCTTGCGGTGTTCCGACTCCGCCCAGAGTTTGCAGGTCAGATTGGAAACCGCCGATCGAGACCTGCACCTGCCTACTTGATAGGAAGTTCTGTATGTATTTGAAGATGCGCTCGCCCACATCAATGGAGTTTAGCCCACGGAGGATGGCTGCGTGGCTGACATTGTCGAATGCTTTGGAGATGTCCAGCCCGAGTATGGCTCTGGTGTCCCTTTTGGGTGCGTATTCCCTTGCCATAATCTGATGATACAGTCGGAGCATCACGTCCTGCGTCGAGAGCTTGGGTCTGAACCCGACCATCGTGTCCGCGAAGACTTCGTTGGCCTCTGCGTACCTGTAAAGGCGATTGAGTACGACATGCTCCAAGACCTTCCCGAGACAGGACGTGAGCGAAATGGGGCGCAGGGCTTCCAGTTGAAGTTTTTTCCCAGGCTTGTGTGTAAACACCATCTTCGCAGTCTTCCAGGATTCTGGGATTTCTCCTTTTTGCCAGCAGACGTTGAAGTATGATGTTAGCCGGTCAATCTCTCTGTCATCCAAGTGCCGCAGTAGCTTGTTTGAGACTCCATCAGGTCCTGGAGCGGAGCGGGTCTTGAGCTCTCGGATCGCAGCCATGACTTCGAAGGGTCGGAATTCTTCGTCTAGCGTAAGGTTTGGCTGGCCCGTGTATTCCATCGCAGGTGTTGGCGGAGCTCGTCCGATATACTTGTTTTGTACTTCTTGGACAAGCTCGTTTCCATCTCCCTTGAATGAGCTCAAGATACACTCCATCTGATCTCGAACTGTGGTTCGGCTTTGTCCGGGGTCGAGGAGATGTCGACGGATGTTCCACGTCTTTGGAGTGTTGGGAGCTCCTTCGAACTCGTTGCAGGTGTCTTCCCATTGCTTAGTTGTGAGATAGGTGGCGTGACTCTCGATGGTCTTGTACAATGTTGCGATTCGCTTGCGTAGCCGACGATTTCCTTTCTTTCGCCTTAAGCGTGCCTCAAGGTTTGTCTTCATTTCCCATAGGTGCAGGAGCCGGCTGTCCGCCGCGGTCAGATTTGCCTCCTCGGGAATGTTTCTTGTGGCTGAGGCTTCAACTTCTCTGATGCCTGCGGTCCACTGATCCAGGTCCTTAGACGCGCGGAGGAGTGCGAGAGAGTAGGTCAGCATGGTGACGTAGTCTCTCTGACACGATGCGGAGCGACCGGGCTCGAAGTCAGACGGCTTCGCCCGGAACGTCCGCGGCTCACGCCTTCTCGGGGGAGGGAAACCAGTGGCTCCCACAGGCTATATTGTAATTATTTAACGCTACTTTTACCGTTCGATAAAAGTATAAGTGACCGTTACTTCCAAAAGTAATTCGTTACTTCCAACATCGTTGTCCTCGGAAAAAAAAAGTGTCATTCGAGTATTTATTGTTGCCTAAAGTAACACTTCATTCCCTTTGGGTGTCTTGAGTTGGATATTTATTCTTTCAACTGAGGCGCTGGATGGGAGTGCAATATTGTGCCTCATGATGCAGTGCATTGTTTTTTGCAGCGAAGCGAAGAATGCGCTTTTTACCCTGCAGGGAAAGAGCAAAGCGTCCTAGAAGCCGATGCTTTATGCTATTGAAATCACTGATATGTAAAATTCGTCATACAACCTGCCAAACCTGGAATAAGAATCGATTTATGTACCTCTAACTATGCCAGCCGGTGGAACATGATAATTTAATTATAAATACTGTTGACATTCATCTTCTCTTGGCTCGTGCAGGTGAAGCCTCGGTTGAGACGTTGGTGAACAATAGGATAACATTTTATATGGTGAATTCCACTGGTAGATTCGAAGCGCTTTCCAAAATCCGCGAGGGAGGCAAAATTCCTCTCCGTGGAACCCGCTCCGAATCGACGAGCGGAAGATGGGTTCGCATTTTCGGAGCGACCCACCGACCCGGTCGGAGGTTCAAAAAGGCCACTGCTCAAACTTGACAAGCCGACCAACGCCTCAGCCGACTGATCTTTCTGACGACCAGTGACAAATTTCACTGCTTAGCCGCAGAAATTACACGCGACACAGGCCAGGCAAAAATACATGCAACACGGAGCCCATGTCACAAATAGCGAGGAAGGCGTGGCAAGTTCGCAGTATACTGAGTTACGGGTTTCAGTTGAGCCAGTTGGTGCATGTTACTTGGACTGGGGCCAGCTGAACTTAGAGGAGAGATGAAGCGTGAGAAACAGGGACAGAAAAAGACATAGACACTCCGCTGGACTACCAACTACGGTTTGAATTCTTCTTTTTTTTTTTTTCTTTCCTCCCGTGATCCTCTGCTGCTTTTGTTTTCGAAATTCTTGCTTTCTTATCTTTTTCTTCTTCTTTTCGTTTTCGTTTCTGGAGCTCAATGTTTAAAGGACATTTGGACGCCTGCGGGGCGGAAAGCACCGCAAAAATTGCTTCTCTTTGGTGCTAAGCTTGATTGATGGCTCGCTGACGCATGTCGCTTGGTTCCCCTCTATGGCCATGGTCTCTATCATTTCCCGAGCATACGTGTTTTTGCTTCTTGCTATGATGGTAATATTGTTGAGCTCTGCACTGCATCTGCACGAGCGGCAGTGCGCTGGTAGATGGCCTGCCGTTGTTCCTTTAACCGATGCTGCATGCTCTCTCATCCTTTTGTTTACGCATCTGCCCGTCTGGCCGATATAACATTTTCGACATGATAGGGGAATATGGTAAACGACCCCGGTCTCGCATGGGGCATACTGTGTCTTGTGCGAAACATTGCAGATTTGTTTTTTCTGGTTGGTGTCTTCATTTACTTTTCTGCACATGGAGTATGCTTTGTTTGGGGCAGAGCACACGACCCTTATGTCCTGCCTTGCGGCTATCTTCTTTAGTTTGTGCGTTATTCCATGGACATAAGGTAATACTGCGATTTTCTGTTTTTCTTTTGCCTTCGTAGTTTCTTCTGGATGAGTTGACCTCCGCCTGAGTTTTCTGCAGATGTTCTCGCATACGCATATCAATAGGTCATTTGGATACCCATATTCACGTAATCGGGAAATTTGTTTTTGAAAACTCGCCTCGATTGCGTGATGACATGATTTGTTCAGAGCCGTTGCAAGGGCGGTGATGGCAACACTTCGCTTGATGGTCTTAGAATGTTCAGATGCAAATGGCAAAAACCCTTTGTTCGACCTGGGTTCATCTCCAGCATACATGGCCATGGCCATGTATATGACCATGGTACACATGGTATACCATGGTATATGGTATATGGTATATGGTACATGGTATATGGTATATGGTATATATGGTATGGTATATATGGTATATACCATAGTATGGTATATATGGTATGGTAAGGTATAGTATGGTATATATGGTATGGTATGGTATAGTATAGTATAGTATGGTATAGTATAGTATAGTATAGTATAGTATAGTATAGTATGGTATGGTATATATGGTATATATGGTATATATATGGTATATGGTATATACCATGGTATATATATATGGTATATACATACCATGACCATGGTATACCATGGTATATGATATACATGACCATGGCCATAGAGGGGAACCAAGCGACATGCGTCAGCGAGCCATCAATCAAGCTTAGCACCAAAGAGAAGCAATTTTTGCGGTGCTTTCCGCCCCGCAGGCGTCCAAATGTCTTTTAAACATTGAGCTCCAGAAACGAAAACGAAAAGAAGAAGAAAAAATTAAGAAAGCAAGAATTTCGAAAAACAAAAGCAGCAGAGGATCACGGGAGGAAAGAAAAAGAAAAAGAAGAATTAAAACCGTAGTTGGTAGTCCAGCGGAGTGTCTATGTCTTTTTCTGTCCCTGTTTCTCACGCTTCATCCCTCCTCTAAGTTCAGCTGGCCCCAGTCCAAGTCGCAGTATACCTTTCGGCCGCATCGAAATGGCGAGGCACGAACAGCGATGTCCATCGGTGCAGTTCAGATTGCTGGTACGACTTTAATAAACACAAAGAGGAAACCAACCATCACTTGCACGGTCGTTGCCTAATCTGTTCTTGCTTTATTATGGCGAAGCTGTTTATGGCTTGGGTCCCATGGATTTTTCGGGTGCGGCAACACAGATGACGTCACGGCTTCGCGACGTCAAGTGATACCACGACTTTGTGTCAAGGGATGTGAAGTGCTCTGCTAAATTTAGCAGGGAAATTGACGTTCCGTGACCTCAACACCAATGCAGTTTCCTTGCTAAATCTAGCGGTAAAATTTCCCCGCCAAATTTAGCGGGGAAATTTCCCAGATAAATTTGGTGGAAAAAAAAAGGCATCACGACTTTGTGTTACGTGGCACGCAGCAGCAGGCACGCAAGCAGGGCTCCAAGCCCTGCTTGCGTGCCTAGTTTCCTTTCCTTCTGCCGGGTGGCGGTCCAGTCACGCGTGTCTAGCTTCCCACGGCTCCTCGGGACGGCGCTAGTCCTCGAAATGTATGTGAGTACTTTTCGTCACGATGACCACCGATCAAAACAATAAATGTGTTCGCACCTTTGTTCAGAATTCAGTGTCACGTCTGTGTC